CTCTTCAACTCCTCAGACATTTCGTCTATCGCAGCTACTCTCCCTTCTAGTATGGCTCGGCCCAATTGCGTATCACCCACTCTAGCCGTCATGATTTGGAGGAAACCGCCATCAGCCGCAGGCACGCGGTTACGCCAGAGCGACCAGATTGCGATGGCCATAAAGACAGTCGCTGCTGCTATACAGATGCTGTATGGGAGGATAAGACTGAGCGGGCTGCTGAGCGTGTATGTACTGCGGTATCTCGTACTCGTTACTGGTACCATGTCCCACCAGGTACCTAATGAGATGGCAGAGATAGTGACATTCGCCAGGAATTCGTTGAGCATAGGCTCGGTGATATTGAGCGATTGTCTTGGATCGAAAAAGGTGTCGTAGTAGCTGGAGTCGAGTGGAGAGCTTTCGAATCGAGCCGTGTGGAAGACGGTACCGTTAAGTATTTTTTCTTTGGTCTTCGTTGCCCTGCGTATTGAGTCGATGTAATAATACCAGTTTGTCTTGTTACGATTACTGACCGAAAAGGTTTGCCAGTGCCCGCACTCATAAAACATGGTAGCGCCTGATGAGCTCTTCCTCTGCGGGCACGCTGGCAGACCGTTTTCCCCCATGGGTATTTGTATCTCTTGGGTACACGTTCCTTCCACAACTGTTCCCAGCGTATCTAGAATAGCCCACTCGTTGGAAATGGGTATAGCCGTGGCCAATCGCTGGTACCAAACTTCAAGTGCTCGTGGTTCTGGCGGAAGCTCGATCCGTAACGAACCCCTTGCGCCAAGCACGTCGACTTGACTCGAGAGTGGTTTCACATCGCTTAAGGTGTAATCAATTGTTTGAACGCCGCGCGGAAAGGTGATGCTGACATTATAGAGGGCAGAATTAGCTTTACAAACCTGTTCGTTACGCACACCGTATGCCTTCCAGACCAGACTGCCATTCGGGTTACGCTGCGCACCGTAGCTCGCAATTCTGTGTTGTCTCAATGAGTGCTCCTTGCGCTCTCGATTCCATGCCGATATGAACACAGGTACTTTAGCATACTTCCCGGGTATATAATCAAGGGCGAGAGTAGTGTTATACTGTGAAGTGGTACATTCGAAACGTGGCCCTCTGAACTGCAGGTTGTACGTAGAGTTCTCTCCTGGATGGCCTGGGAGAGGAAAAATTTGGTTGTTGAACTTGATCGCATTTGCGACATACATCAACGGCGGCGCAGGTTGACTGCAAAATTAGATACGAATAGATGGTTGAAATGTTGAGCTTACAAATATGAAAAGAACTGAAAATTAGGCCCTGAAGTTTCTCCCGGAGCAGATGCCATTTGTCCGCTGGATATTGCCTTACCGGCTAAGGTAGGAAAGTTATCATCGCCCGCCAGGTCCAGATTTGGCGGAAGAGGTGGGTTCATAACAGACATATTGTGAAGTTCGGTGATTGCTTGAGCCTCGAATGCTACGGTTAGCGCTCCTGCAGGGTAAATCGTTGCGATACTAAGGCCCCAGGTTAACAGTGCCATGAGCCACAGCAAAGGCGCCTTGTATAACCCTTGGGGCTTTAGTAGTGCAAATATGTTCGTTCGAAGAATGAAGAGCATCTCGACTGTCGAAAGCGACATTGCCGGCCCGCGTAGGAGGTACCAGAGGTGTTGCGCAAAGCATGTGCCCACGCTAGCTGTCAGTGCAGCTTTGAAGATCGTGCTCAACAATATGGAAACTGCAGATACCTGGCGTTGTGTAAGAAGACTCGTGTCCACCGCCTTCTGGTCAAGCTGCGTCACGAGCACGTAGTGTCCTAGCGCAGCTAAGAGAGCTCGAAAGATGTCAATAGGGTTATCCGTATGCGGCAAGCGACACTGACCTGTAAGAAAAAATCCGAAGATTGTGCCCACAGTTTTCCAGAGTGCCGTCAAACTGTTCTCTCTGTTTGGTGAGGAGAGCTGCGCCTCATTCGGATTGTTCCAGAAGTGTGCTGGGCTGAAGGGCCTGTCAGGGCCTGTACCTTCATTCAACTGACCAGATTGGTCCTCAGACGTGCTTGCACGACTTGAAGACGTTTCGTGAAATCTGGTGAACATGCGTAGATCCCGGACGGAAGGTGGCCTGTCGGCAGGAGTTGCTGCGTCATCGACGTCGCTATGCTGCGATACAGGGCTATCACACACTGTTGGTGTTCCGGCCCTTTCTTCCATAGCGTCTGGTTTGTTGCCACGGAGAGAGTAAGAAAATGAAAGAGTAGAGATTTGAAAGGGTGTTTTTCGGCATGGTTATGGGTCTGCACAATGGTAGTGAAATCGGGGCTTAGACATTGCTACAAGATTGAAGATTTGCTGACTGCATTGACCCGCGAAGCAGGTACCCAATGCCATAGCGGTTCTCCAGCGTCTGGCTTGTCCGCTATCGATGGATCTATATTGCGCCACGATAAAAGTAGAGCTAAGTGGATGAAGACGTGGCTATTGGCCCCACGCGAGATGTTCCCCAAGGCTTGAGTGGCGCTAATGCATGTGAGCTGACATCTGTGGATCATGACTGGGTAGTCTACCCAGGTGCGCAAGGCTGATTTCTCGCCCCCACACCACTAGTCACCACCACACTGCAAAACCGAATTTTCGGATTACTTATCGAGATGCTCGATGCTCAAAATGATGTTCGTAGGCTTGAGCCGCTTGCCGCGCCAATGGGAATCGAGATGCTCGGGTGTTGCCGATTCCCACGTGTGGAGATTTTCTTCCCGGGCCAGGCTCAGGTTCTTGGGCGAAATGATGCGATAAAGGCGAGTAGAAGGGCCTTGAAAGACGAGAATGAGTCTGTGGACTGTGAGTGCATCCCCCAGATCGACGCGCATTGATGCCGGGCTCGCACTAAGAAGGATTAGCAGCTGTTGACGCAGTGTCGGCAGACCCACCTGGGCAGTCACGACACTGGTAAATCTGATGCTCTCCAAGCGCTCTACCACGTCAATAATGCGTCTATCAAAGTGTTTTAGACCGTACTCATCGACTATGCTGAGTCTCCTCTTTCCACTCATAGCCTGAGCCGCTCACGCGTAACAAGAAGTCTGACTTGACCGCCCTCATGCCCTCGCACGCCCCGAGCTGAACCGTCAACTCATCGATATGCCTCATGAGTCCGCCTCCGACGTTGACTTGATCAAGATAAGTCACCCCTTCTCCACGCATCACCCAGAACAGACCCTGTGGAAGTCTGACATCTTAGGAAGTCATGAACCTATTCACATCGCCGAAGTCACACTCTGTGACTGGACGCCAGAATGGGCAGTATAAAGAGCTTTGGAGATAATGGCAGAAGATAGACATCAAAGTACTCAATACACATCCTCTATCTCAAACCCTCAAATCGACATACCGAAGAGAGCTTCTCAAGTCTTATCCAACGACGAAAATCCAACTGCATTCCGAACGAACGCCGACCAACAGTCAACACGAGAACCAACGTCGCAATTCGAAACCATGCCACTAGTTTATCCTCGCTGCATATTTCGACTGGCAGGTTTATGCGTCCAAGACACAGATCAAGATGAAAAGGATGACACTGCACCGCCCTGTGACGAATGCAAAAGAACTATCCCTGAATACATGAGATTACAAATCGTAAAAGGAGATGAGGCTGAAACCATAAAAGCACAGCACTTGCAAACGCTGTACGCAGCTTCGAACACGCTGTGGAAAACAAACATTGCCGACACCAATGGCAAATACGCTTGTGTGACGCAACAGGAGCGGCTTCGATGCGTCGATGTCCCAGGAATGCCTGAACCAGCTGATCCAAGAACTGATCAAAGTTTCATCGGACAAATGGTGCCAATGAGGGTTAAAGTAAGATACCCACATAATTCCAGGCTCTTGTCATGTGATCGCGTTGATTCGCCGGACATGATATGCGAGGAGTGTAGGGGCGCGGTGGAAGCACACAACACACGAAAGAAAGAACTGCGAGCGCTTCTCGAACCCGTCGATCCGAATGATCCGGAAAAGAACTGGAAGTTGAAGAAGGAATACATCGACACCGAGGTCAACAAGTCGTCATCAAACACGTCCCAGTGAGCTGGCAGATGGAATCTCGAAGCTGGATGTAATGGGGGATGCAGCGGACAATGAGCCTTCTTTTATCTTTCTTTCCAGAATTAATCCGTGCAGGGCACGCCCATTTCATTACAACACTCATTTCCAGACTGTCAGAGGGCTAGGGGAGTCAATAGGGACGTTATCTAGAATGTATATTAGTATAGCATCCGTGCAGGACACGATGCATCTACCAACAATCATGTACACACAGTCATATGGCGGCATAGGTCGATGGTGATATTTCTAGTTGTGCATGTCAGTAGAACCGGCTTCCGTGCAGGTTTGGTGTAACCACACCACCAACAATCGCTCAAAGAACAGTCATACAATGCATCCTTGCCGTACCTCCCAATAAGAGACCTGGACAGCACATCACTGAATCAACAGATATTCAATTCCCGGTCCCCAATGCTGTTGATAAGCATCCCAGCCAACAAATTCTTTAAAAAATGCGATACCATGATCCATTGAACCCACCTTCCGCGATAAAGATACGGAATCAAAGTTCCCACTCAACAGTCAAGTCATGCCTTATCGCGTCGCCCCAGTCAGACCCTCTGGTAGTCAAAAGCTTCTAGAAGTCATGAGCAGAGTCACAACCACGAGCCACATCGTATGACTGGGTGCGAGTATAAAGTGCGCTGCGAACGATGGCAGATAATAGACATCAAAGTACTCAATACCTTATATCCTCTATCTCAAGTCTTCAGGTCGATATACTACAAACCAATCTTGGGGATTTACACGACCGTCAAAGTCAAGCCATATCCCGAACAAACAACTTCCAGCAGTCCGCCCAGAAACAAACACTGAACAAAACGAGACCATGCCAGCAATGGAGAGTATCGGCGTGGCCTGTGTCTTTAGAAAGAACCCATCGATATGTGTCCAAGATAATTCACCAGAGGACGATACCAATATGTGTTCATTCTGCATAGACACCCTGCCCCAGATACTAAGCGACGAGCTGGAGAGCAAGCGACGCCTAATTACCGATAACGCTAGATACGAGCAAATGCGCCAAATGATTGAAAGAAAGTGGAAGACGACAGCTCGCAACAACAACGGAAAGTTCTTCTGTGTGGCTAGACAGTCGCGCTTCCGCAACCCGAGCAACCCGAGTGGAAAGTTGCTCCTCGAAGGAGTCGCTAAGGCAAAGATTGAAGATAAGGCAGAGGTAATTAGGGAGGCGCCGGCAGGTGAGGTTCATACGGTGGACCATGTGAAACATGCAGAGTGTAAACCTGTAGATCAAGCAGAGAGGCTATGCCTAGATTGCAGCGTTACAGTACGGGTGTTCGGATCTCCTGAGTTGAAGAAGCTATTCAACAACGACATGGAGATGGAATTGACAGACAAGGTCATCAAGGATCTGAATGATCACCCATATCCTTGAATGACGAAGTCTTTCCAATAACTCGGGTGGCGGACTTCGGGAATTGACGTACTCGGGTAGTTGGATTCAACGGGCAATGGATTACGGTCTCTTATGTTGCTTATGCTCGTCCGTGCACAGCACGCTCACCTTCATTACGACACACTTTCCAAACAGTCATCGAGATAGCTCAAAGAGCCGAGTTCCCATTTTCCTATAATAGATGTTAGTATGTATGTAGATCCGTGCTGGTGTAACCGCACAACCAACAATCCTTCAAAGAACAGTCATATAATGCAACAAGGCCCTCGAATCACAGACCGCTTGGTAGACAGTGATGCAACAACAACTACCGCATCGTCCGACAAACATCCTGGAAAGTAGATCAGTATATTGACAGTCATACAATGCCTGGCCCCCAATGTGCTCCCAACAAGCACCCCAGTCCTCAAGTCACCACGCACACCACAACACCGTCAGGAAATGCGATACTTTCATTTGTCAGACCGCCCTCCTCGCTAAAGCTGCGGAAACAGAACTCTTTTTCAACAAACAGTCTAAAACGATGCGATGCGATTCGCTCAATCCACCTAAAACCCCACAGCAAGCATCAACCCATACCCAACCGTAATAATAACACAGAAAGTAATAATACTCGCCGGCACACCCCTCGTGAGGAAATGCTTAACAGCAAGATACCTCTGTCCAGTACGTTGATCTTCCATCATAATCGCAGCTGCATCACATTAGCACCCATTCACTTCCTAATCACACACCCAAGGAAGGAAAACTTACTCATATTAGGAAACCCACTAGTCGGCAGCCCCATCGCCCCACTAGCCATCAACACCGCGCCCATAACCAGCAGATTAGGATGCGGCTCCGGCATCTGCTGCCCGACCTGCTGGACAAGCGGGAGCACAATAAGCGCCGCAACGGTATGACTGATAAACGTAGCGACCACACCGATCAACGCGCAGAACACGACGAGAACGCCGTAGAGACTCATGCCCTCGACGCCGGCGGTGATGGACTCCGCGATCGTATGCAGCAGCCCCGATGAATTGACTGCTTTACCGAGGGACAAACCGCCGGCGGCGAGGATGATGATGGTCCAGAGGAAATTGTTGAAGTCCTCTTTAGTCAGGATACCGGTGCCGAAGAAGAGGACGATGGGGATGATGGCTACGACGCCCATGTCGCCGAAGATGGATTCAAGCTGATGGCTCACACACCACAGGACAATGGTAACGAGGGTGACGACGCTGATGAACCATTGCACGCCGGTGAACTTGTCCTTGAGGGGACGGATGGGCACGATGCTGGTGCCGCGGCCGGGTTGGAAGGTGATGAGGAGGAAGACCCAGATTAGTAAAATCGAGATGATGCAGACGGGAAGTGCGACGAAGAACCATACGCCCCAGGAGGGTTCTGGGTGCATGTTTTGCAGCGCGATTAGGTTCTGTGGCGAGGCGATGGGGGAGGCGGCGCCACCGATGTTGGAGGAGAGGGCGATGCCCATGAGGAGTGCTTTGGTCATGTCGGAATCGGCGGGGAGGTTGCGGAGGATGGGCTGGGACGTTAGTTTGGTCAGGTTTATCTGAGAAATATTGACGTACCTGGATGATGGAGAAGCAGAGCACTGGTGCGGCAACGTTGCTGATCCACATACTGGCGAACATGGCGACGAACATGTTGACTACAAGGACGGTTCTTGGCTTCGTTCCGGCCTTGCTGAGGACAAAGGTAGCCATCATCTTGGCGATGTTGTACTTTGATAGCGCAGCGGCAATTGTGAAACCACCGAGTAGCAGCATGATGACTGGCGTCCACATGGCGGAGAAGACGTAGGACGCCGCTGCCTTGGATTCCAGTCTTCGGTGAGGCTCCACGTCGCTTCGTACTACATTTAGTGTTACAGCGAGGAAAGGTACCAAAAGCGAGGTCACGAAGAGAGGTATAGCCTGTCGTGGTTAGCATAGAACTAGAGATTTCGAATACTCTGCATACCTCGGTGGCCCATAGTAAACTGACGAAAATCACCATTGCCAGACAGTTTTGCTGCTCAGGCGCCTCCATGATGGGCACCACAAGCAGCACGACGAAGACCGCTATGCAAGCAAGCAGAATCCAAAAGGTCCTGCTGACGAGCCATTGCGGGCACCGATATCTTCCAATCGGTGTATCCACCTCCTTCATGTCTGATTCGACCTCGTCTCCCTGCCGCCTGATCTTGCCGCCCGTCGTGTCGCGTCCGAGCAGTGTATGGCTAATACCGATATTGGCCGCTTGCGCTTTCCGTTCGATTCCAATCATCTCTCGCCAGACTGTGTTTCTCTCCCACACGACGTGTTCCCGCAGATGCAGTCTCAGCTCGCGCTTCGCCTCTACAATGTCGCCCTTGGTGCCAATCTGCGCGTACGCTTCTTCCATGCGCTCGAGGTTCCGCGTGAGCGTGTCCATGGTACTTTGCTGGAAGGGATATGCCGGGTAGACGTATTTGTTCAGGTATGTCTTTTTGAGTTTGCGGTCCATGATCTTGTCGTACTTCTTCAGCACCTTTTCGAAACCCGTCTTGTTTAGCTGGATGAAAGATCGCAGCTCGCACAGCAAAACGTAAACACTGACGGCCCGCTTCTTAAGCGACACGCCTTCGTCGTACAGCGCTGAGAAAGCCATGTCGTTGTAGTCCTCGAATGCGACGCTCGTCTTCCGTCTTGAGGACACGTGCGAGGCTGCCATGTCTTCGTCGGTGGTCCGTCTGCGTCGCCGTTGACCGTCTGGGCTCTTCTTACGCAGCTGTGCGGTCTCGTCGACGTCTTCGTCCGAATCGTCCTCGTCTCCATCTGCCTCTGCGCCGTGGTCTGTTGACCGTCCGCTGGCACCGCTCATTGCCCGCGGTCGGTTGAAGCCGATGGCCTTGAAGACGCTTCCACTGCGCATCTTCTTCCCTGGCGGCGCATTCTCGTTCTCCTCATTATACTCTTCCTGGTGGTACTCGAACAGCTCCTCGTCCTTGAGCAGGGCCTCCATCTCCTCGAAGATCTCATTCTCCTTGAGCTTGTAGAAGGACGTGACGCGTTCTAGTTCCGTGTCGAGAGTATTCGTGAAGACCTTGTCTGGATCATCGGCATCCCCGTTGAGGAGTGGTGAGGACTCGGCATCGGTATGCGCCTGCTTCTGGTTGAGCTGCGTCTCAAGGCTGTATATTCTGTATATAGTCTGTCAGCCCTGATCTTACTAATACTTCTTGCTTCCTTCTGAGACGCGCCACGTACTGCTTCTTGAGGTTGCTGTAGGCAATGTAGTGGTTGCTCCAGTCCGGCACTGCATTGAACTGCAGGCTGTGGGAGAACTTCATCTCGTCGGCCTCGCGAAGCTGCTCGAGCTTCTCCCGTCGCTTTTGTTCCCTCTTGGTCTCCCGCCGTGTCTCTTTTGGGGTAGGGTCGAGTGGTTGAAGCTCAAAGGCTTGGATGGGCGCAGCGTCACGGTAAGGGCTCAAGGCGTCCAGGGTGGAGGCTTGCGGGTTGTGGAGGGAGTGTTAGGCAGTCTCCAGCGAGAAGACGCTACGGCAGGCAGGCTAGAGGGCGTAGTCGCAGGCGGTCAGGTGGCGTGCAGCACGTGGAAATGCGGCATTGAGATGTGTGGGATTGGCGCGGAACCTTTCTCGGCGCTGGCCTGAAGATGTGGATGCGCTTTCGTCACCGCACACCAGGGCCGCGCCGGAACACATGGGCCCGCCATTGGCCCTCCGCCGCGCTCCCGCACCCACACCGACCACGCCCATACACTGTCTCGGAACACGCGACAGGTAGCGTCTTCGTGCACCGTCACGCGCCTAAACCCCACGTCCCATGGGATGCAGCTTCCATCTCGTCTTCAGTCAAGTTGAGTGGAACCTTTGCATGTCTTCGCGATGGCCCGCTCCTGGCCGCGGCTAGTCATTGCCTGCATCGCACCCATGCCGAAACCACTCGACCTGCATCATCGTTGCGCATAGGTCGCCCGCAATCCTCTGCGCCAATCACGCTTCAAAACGTGTGATGTCTGGTAGATCGTCTGTTGAGCCTCACTTTCAAGAAGACCATGTAGAAATGCGTATAGCGAACATTGCTTGAACTTTTATTCACTTTTGGGCTATATACAATCATTTGCCTGGTGTTACGTGAATAATATCATCGTTTAAACTGTAGAATGTTAGCAGTGTTCAGTCATCTTCAAGTACTATCAAACTTACACCTCAGGTCCCAGCCAATCTTGGGTCCTAGCTTGGGCAGCTCCTCCGCGACACTCTGCACGTCCTTGTCACCACGTCCAGAGACACAGATGACAATGTCCTGGTCCTTGTTCATTGTCTTGGCCAGCTCAATGGCACCAAAGACGGCATGCGAGGTCTCCAGCGCCGGGATGATACCCTCGAGCTGGGACATCAGACGGAAGCCGATGAAGGCCTCGGCATCGGTGCAGGCAATGAACTTGGCACGGTCGCTGTCCTTCCAGCTGGAAAGCTCTGGGCCAACACCGGGGTAGTCGAGACCAGCAGAGACCGAGTGAGTCTCGCTGATCTGTCCGTGCTGGTTCTGGATTACATAGGTACGCACGCCGTGAAGCACGCCCTTGGTTCCAGCGGAGAGTGTTGCACTGTGGCGGTCTGTGTCAATACCGTCACCACCAGCCTCAATACCGAGAAGCTTAACGGACATGTCTTTCGAGAAGGGGTAGAACATGCCCGCGGCATTGCTGCCACCACCAACGCAGGCAACTACAGCATCGGGAAGCTTGCCACGCTTGGCCTGCATCTGCTCCTTGGTCTCGTTTCCGATGATTGACTGGAAAGTACGGACAATCGTAGGGAAGGGGTGAGGACCGATGGCGGATCCGATGATGTAGTGTGTTGTGTCGAGGTGAACGACCCAAGCGCGCATGGCCTCGTTGACTGCATCGCGGAGGGTCTGCGCACCAGCCTCGACAGCAACGACCTGCGCACCGAGCAACTTGATGCGGAAGACGTTCAGAGCTTGACGTCTGACATCCTCGGCACCCATGTAGATGGTGCACTTCATGTTGAACTTGGCGCACACAGTGGCTGTTGCAACACCGTGCTGGCCAGCTCCAGTTTCGGCAATAATCTCAGTCTTTCCCAGTCTCCTGGCGATGAGTACCTGTCCGAGAGCGTTGTTGATCTTGTGACTTCCGGTGTGGTTCAGATCTTCTCTCTTCAACCAGATGTTGGCGCCTCCGGCGTGCTCGGTGAGGCGCTCGGCAAGATGCAGATGTCCTGGTCTGCCCATCCAGTCGTAGTAAGATCGGTACTCTTCCCAGAACTTGGGGTCTTCGATCGCTGTGTTGAAACCTTCCTCGAGCTCAGAAAGACAATCCATGAGAGATTCAGGCACATATTGCCCGCCAAACTCGCCGAATCGTGCGGGGAACTTGTGCTTCTCGTCAAATCCGTTCTGCTGGTTGGTTCCATTCGCGCCTTCCGTCTCGTCAGTGTTGAGCATCTCCAGTTGATCGGCAAGACCGGGGCCATCTGGTGTATCGGCATCTGTGATGACCTTGTCTACGTGGACGCCGGTGGGCTCCTTGGCCTCGTTCAATGTCTCAACGATGCCAACCTCACGGGTTGTCTCGCGGGTGCTCTTGCCGCAGATCTCGTCGCAGTACTTCTCAACTGCCTTTGCGCCCTCTCCTGCTGGAGCCTTGATCAACGTGTTGATAATCTGGGAACCGATAACGACACCCTCAGCTATCTTGCCTACGCTCAGGTAGTGGTCGCGTGTGCTGACACCGAAACCGACAGCCGCCGGAACATTGCCAGAGTATTTGTGGACGCGCTCGAGAAGCTGAGGAAGAGCAGCATTCATTGTTCCGCTTGCGCCGGTGACGCCCATGCGCGATACGACGTAGATGAAGGAATCGGCGATTTTGCAGAGGACGCGCATGCGGTGCTCGGAGGTAGCGGGTGCGATGAGGGGAACGTAGGAGAGACTGCCAGGTTAGTATTCGTCCCAAGCTCGTCTGGATGGTGTGCTTACCCGTAGCTGCGGCAGAAGTTCCTGAAGCGCAGAGCCTCCTCCGGTGGCAGGTCGACCATGATGAAGCCGTTGGCTCCGGCCTCCTTCGCATCCTGCAGCATCTTCTCCTCGCCGTAGCTGAGCAGCGGGTTGTAGTATCCCATGAGGAGGACTGGTGCCTTCAGACCCCGCTTCCTCGCGTCGCGGATCATCTGGAGAACATGGCCAATCGTAACGCCGTTCTTGAGGGCTTGCTATAGACACATGGTGTCAGGAAGAGTTTCCAAGGGGTGGTGGCGAGTAAGTCAACGTACAGTGTTGGCGGTCTGAATTGCTGGGCCGTCGGCAATGGGGTCGGTGAAGGGCATGCCGAGTTCAATGATATCTGAGCGTGTCAATTGACTGTCGTCGTCTCGTTTGCAGCAGCAATTGCTACGTACCAGCACCTCCGGCCTCCATGGCCATCATGATGTCTGGCGTCTCCTCTGCCGTGGGGAAACCTGCAGTCACATAGGTGACGAGGGCAGACTACACACATGTCAGCCTGGTGTGTCTCTTCCTGCTTATGCCAAATCATACCCTGCCCTCCTTCTTGCATTGCGCAAACGTCTTCTTAATGCCGTCCATGTTGCTGAATACCGAGTCGGGAAGTTGGAGTGTGTGACAATAGCACAAAGCCAGAAGCTGACTTCCTTATAGATGAAACAACTGTGAGTCACAGTATGGGCAGTCGTAGGGTGCGCGGAGATATCGGGGTCTGGTATGAGTCTTGTGTTCGCAATTTATTGAGGGCCGAAGGCGGCGTAATGCCCCTCCTCTCCGGCATTAGCGGCTCGATTGGGCAAGGCGCGCGAACATCATTCCTTCTAGAAGCAAGTCTTACCAAACTCCACACTTTTTTCAACTCATACACGTCATTGCGAGACTCTTTTGTACATTAGACTACCCAACCTCGTTTTGCTTAGATGGAAACCCAGTACACTCGCTACATGTGTAGATACAGCATACAATTGGGTCTCTAGCCGCCGCTTCGATCATTTGTGGCATCTGCAACCTTTCCGAAATTGGTTTTCATTCACCGTGCGGTCCTTCTCATTAAACCAAGCCCCATAGCCGCATAGCTTCGTGAAGTTCAGACAGTGATCACAGACGATGTCATCCTCTTCCGTGGGCTCTTCGCACCGGAATACACCAGGGACCTCTGAACCTTTCCCACTTTTCCAGGCTTCGACCACATCTGCCACCATCTCGCCATACTTGTCATCCGTGTAACGCTTCCGGCGGATCACACACGTGCGGGGCTTCTCGTTATGTTTGTCAATCCACTCGAAGAACTCGTCGAACTCCCGGTGTTCGTCTCTCCACGGACGTATTATAGCGGGATGGGTCCAGAGACAAGATCCGCACAGCCCTTCACCGGGGGTATCTGCGCGACATCCGGGTCTTTTTCCATACAACGGACACGATTCCGATGGGTAGTTTGCCATGTTTCGTGAGTGTGGGTGGTCTGGGCTAGGCTTTGTGATGGCTGCAGCTTCGCTACTGAGTTGGACGTTGGCTTGCAGGGAGCGAATAGAAGAAAGTATGAGAGGCTTTGCTATAGAGGCCCTTAAGAGAGAGAGAAATATCTGCCAAAGGTAAACGTTCTGGTGTTGATGGAAAGCAGAATTGGAGCGAGTTTTGTCACTACCAACATGATGTCTTGTATGACTGGGACTTGTGACTACTTGGAAGTACAGTCATACATCGCGGTGGCATTGCGCCTCGCACAGACGCAAAGGGTCGCCGTGAGTCTTTTCTGGAAGTGACCCTTACCAAAAGTCACTTCCTTCTCTTCCTCACGTACCTCACCGCTCCTTCGCACGGGACAGTCGTCGTTGTACGTGCAAGACATCGACAAACCATAATTCGAAACAAAGACTGCGGTTCCTGGTTCTTCACTATGTAGAGCACATCGTAGAGACATTGGCTTGGTTCATTGTCATGCTAGATCTATGATCACGAAACATGTGGATGAGGATGACACAGGCACAAGTCACCGCTGACCCAACTTATTCTTCGACTCGCCTCCCTCTCCCCTCCTTCATGGCAACACCTTTATCCTCCAGCGCAGGCTCCTTCTTGCCTTTGCCAATGAACTTTGGAAGCAAGTGTTTGCCATCTTCCGAAAACATATGCTTGACGGGATTCTGGCCTTGGAGATTAGACAGGCATTTGGCGCAGAGTTCCGCTTCGCCGTCCACGGGATCGCATACGACGTAGTCAGCAAGCACCAGGTCTTTATCTTCGTGCGATCTTTCTCCGTTCCTGTCACTCCTGATATCTTTAATAGTATCCACCCATTCGTTGCCTTTGTGGTCGGCCCTGAAGCGTTCCTGCCGGGAGACACACACATGTTTACCGGGTGGCACTCGTTCGAGCTGGACTTTGTACATGTTGAGATATATTTTCTCCCGCGACTTCTCCTCTATCAACTCCAGCATCAACTTTGATGGCAACTCCGGAGGTTGCAAGGCGATCTGCTCGAGGTTCCAATACATGATGATCGGGTGTGTGTCTTTGCAGTAGGAACATAGCTCGTCGCCACCTTGCTCTGAATCCCTTTGTACGCAGATTCCGAACTCATCGCCGCCGATCAAGCATTTTGGCTTTGTACTTGTCGACATCATGCAATAGATTCTTGTGCAACGGGCGTGAGAAGTCTTCCGTCTTCGAGGACTCGCGCTGCTATCGGGACCAAGGGCGTGAGGGAGATATGTGATGTAACTTTTGTCGGCTGCCCACTCCGCCAGCTTTTGTACTTGCGGCTCAGTCATAGCTGACTTGATCGGAACACTGACTGTGGCTGCTGTACGATGAGTAAAAATTCAGGTTGTCAAGGGGAGGCCAGGCCGGAGTGAGTGTCTCGTGGGTATGAATCAACACATAGAGCTGACTGTTGACAAAGATCACCATCTACCGAAAGCGTGGCGACGTCTGCGTCGAAGGTGTGCAAGAAACGTGATGATGGTACCCGATGAAGTGATCTGCTGAGGTTGCGTCGTCGAGAGTACCTCCACGATCACACACCATAGTTACGGGAGTCACTGATGGCACGCACCACCTCCAACAATATGACCCCTCCCTCCGTAAGACCATTGTGCTCCATTGCCACGCCTCCTAGTCTACCGCAGACATCTGAGTTGCCATACAATGACTGGAACATGAAATGATTACTATCGCTTCAAGATACGGTATCGCAAACTTGTACATGCTCAACTCAGAAAGCTTGAACTCCGAGGTAGTCGACAAGCCGACATCAAAGGTCCTCTTGCAGCCCACCAGACAGCCCACCCACCCGCTCTAAAAATACTCGAACACAAAGTAATTGCTGAAGACCCAAATCCGGAATAACGACTGCTCATAGGACCCGATGAGCATGTAGTCCAATCAGGACCGCTCGAAAAGACCGTTCGGAGAAAGTCGACACGCCTGATGAGTCTACCAACCTTTGTCGCATCAAACTGCCTCTCTAGTTCCCGCCGACGCTGCTTTTTCCTCGCCGCAAGATACCTTTTCAAGAGGTCAGTCAGCATCAAGACAGATTTTGAGTATCGACTAACCTGCGTTTGACAAGCATCCAGTCGCGCCACACCATCCAACCAAAGAGAAGCTTCTTCGTAAATCTATCAATAGACAATTTACTAGAAGCAGCTCGTGTGACTTCAATTCTCCCACAGACTACGTCTTCTTCGAATGCATGCTGTTGTCCGTGGATACTGAGTAGGTTCCAAATCAGCGTCGGGAATAGGTCATCCCAAAACATCATCTCGATCTCGGCAAGCTCGAGAGGAAGCACTGTCAATCCCCGCGCTATGTCATCGAGTTCTCCGTTGGGAAGGTTCGTATTCAGGAATAGAGCGGAGAGAGTACAGATGCAGGACTTTTCTGCACGAGTCAAGGTTGTGGGCATAGTGTGTGCGATGGTGTGTCGGCGAACACCTGCGAGAGAATCTTATTGGGAAGAAGAGATAAAGTGATGTGTGGGGAAATACGTATTATTATTCCTAGTAAAGATGGTAGCTTCATAGAGGGTCCATGGGTACCGCGGTTCGGGTTGGATTCATACATCTATACGCGAGCGACCCCTAGCACTCCGACCATTTCCTATACCAATACACTCTCAGATAAAAGACAGCGAAGAACTATCACTGTCACGATATACACAGCCAGCCACAGCCATACAGACGTCCCTTTCCCTACATCCCGACGCACTTTGTTCATATCGATTAGCAATAGAGTTGGCGTGCAAGCCTCCAGACCAGAAGTATGAACACCGATAGTCGACCGGTTTCTAGTCCCCTCTCGCGACAACGGTGGTTACCGAAAGTGCGAGGAGAAGGCCGTTCAGAAGGGATGTAAGGTATGCTACCGCAAAGCTGAACTCAGCCGCGACGTTTACTCCTATGCGTCTGCATCTGAGCGCTGCTACCAGCGGAGACAAAGTGCTTTTTGAGGTCCATCTTCGCGTTGCTATATCCCGCGAAGAATTGTCTTCTTTGTCTTGAAGTGCTGGTTTTGCGAAGCAACTGTAGCATCCAGTAAGTGAAACGGCTTGCGGCTCCCTTGCAGTGGCCCGTTTCTTGTGTGTCGGTGTTGTTTGTTGGCTTTTCCGATTCGGAGGAATGTGCTATGAGCACTAGTCGTGTCGTCTTATCAACCGCACCGTGAATACGATAAAGCTGTAAGGGGCGGCCTGCCTCTAGTTCCGTGCCAAACGTGAGCAGCAGAAGGAGTAGCCATAGGTGTGGTACTGTCGCATGTTCGGAGTACTCATTGTCGTTCGTTGGTGATAAGCTCGTGTGCCGACCCAGGGTGGTGATCGAAATCATCTGAGGTGTACGGAAAACGTATGGAGCGTACTCGACGAGATGATTGACTCAGATCGGTTCGTCGATAGCGCTGCAATCACACCCCATAGTTCCGGCGCAGTATGCCCCACTCCGTATCGAAGTACCGGCCAAACCCTCGAATCTCGCACATACGATTGAAACACTTCTGGCAAAGCTGATTCCTAAACCTCGTCCTGTCGCAGCGTCCATCTCTCCTTGGATCCTTTTCCCAGCTTGGGTCCGCCTCACCCTGCTGATTCCGCGGTCCAATCTTCCAGTTGCTGTCGACGGGCCGTCTTAGTCGTGGGTCCTCGAAGACACACGGAAAACCCACTCGGTCGCCATCGAATTCCGAAAGCCAAGGGCAGGCTTGCTCTCGTGCTTTGCGGTAGCATCGTGCACACAGCTGTCCGCGATGCCGAACTGTGCCGCAGAGGCGAGAATCTTGGGGGTTGAAGTCGTTGCGCCATGCTGAGAAGCGGAATTCTGGATCTTTGCAGGCGCAGAGATATGTCCAGCCTTTTCTGATGCGTTCGGAGCTGTCGCGCTCAAGCTGGTGCCTGTAGACATCGATGCGGTACCTCAGCAACGGCTTGTCTGGATGTGCTTCGGCCTGCTTGTACAGTGCGTCGAAGCTCATGTTCTTGCACCATGAACATATATCTGTGCCTTGTTCTTGTCCTCCTGGACGTGAGCCACAAGCGGTACCGAATGCACAGTGTGGCTTCGGCGGCGGTGCTAGCATGACAAGCAGGTCGTACAGTGGTACACCTTATCTGTTAGCGTGGCCGACAACCTAGCAGAGCGACTCACCAGGTCAGTTTCTGGTATGGCTTCAACTCGTTATTGTGTTGTAGCCTTCCACGTCATCGTCCGACTCCTCACTGCCCTCCTCCGAACCTGCCGACCTTGTCACCAGTTTGTCTGCTTCTTCATGGCATAGGCCCGTCGGCGTGAAGAACTGGGCGATTCTGATCTTTCGCAAACGCCTTCTCCAACACCTGGTACACGCAGTACCTTTCTTGCGGACAGAAGGGCAGTCCAGGCGAGTGCCGCGGAGGTTCAGGTCATGTAGTCGCCACCTGCAGTGCTGAAAATCCGGATCCTCAAAGGCGCAGAGATAGCGACCACGAGCTTCGATGTTGCGCTTCAGAATGTGCTTGCGCGCAGTTTCTTCGTTGATGAGTTGCAAGGCAACAGTGTTGGCGTCAGCCCAAACTCGCAATTGTTGTGGATCGTGTCGTTGAAGACAGTCCGCGCAAACCCGATTTGGGATGTAGATTTTCTTGCCGATGCCGAGACAATGAGATCTAGAGACGCACTCGACAATCGGTGGGGGTTTGAAAGTGGATTCAGAAGCTGAAGCCATAGACTGGTACCGAACGTCTAGTAGTCAGGGCTCCCACGCTCACTGGTTTGCGGTTAGCTCAACGTCCTTGCATGTCGGCTTCTGTGATAGGGCGCACCCGGTATGTGCTCCTATGACGTTGAGATTGACATTCTTGCTGGTCGTTGAACATGATGAAAAGACATCGACTGATTGACGCTTGCAAGCTCTGCGAGTTGCATTGACAGGTAATGGGGACGGTACTGGACGAAAGCGGGCTGTCGCCATCTCCGGTGACATGAGTTGCGACCAATGCAATCGAGTGCATGCTTTACCACACGGACGCTACGGGCTCAGTCATGGAAGCTTTTTGTGGCGTAGAATGTGTCCGATGTGTCGGTTCAACTGTTACTGGGCGGTGTGATGCGCTGATCATACTCGCTAGGCTACCGGCATGGTAACATGCCATGTGCCTGTGCCGATTGGGTACCACTCGTGTCCATCGTGTCAACAGTGGTGTTGCTGCGCTAACATGCAGCTATGATCACCATGAGGTATGAGACCCGACAAGCCGGACAGGCCAAAGCGGAAGCTAAGCCACCGGTTAGCTCGTAGATTTGTGTAGCTGAACCGGATCTTGTCTACCACTCGTCGGGAGACGATGGTACTCATCTCATTCGTCAGCTGTGAAGAAATCGCAGCAGCGTGGAATAGACGTTGCGTGTATTTTGGACCTCGAACGCTTGAAACCTGTCGTGATTCGACGATGCTGTGATAAAGTTTCGCTTCGAGCATTCTAAACATGAGGAGATCATCGTGCACGGCCATGAGGTCCTTGCTAATGACCCCGATGAAGCCCAAGACGCTGACTCGTTCCGGTTCATCCGCCTCTTGATGCAACATGCTTTGCATCGTGTTCGAGACGCAGTCACTTCAACATCTGCTTTAGTCTTTGCAAACACTGTGTAACCGCGTACTTGCATTGGATCGACCCAGAGTAGAACTCTATCGGATATGCAGTTGTGACGCAATCTGGATCGGCAGTTAAGAAAACGACCTGTATCTTCCGCGATCCAGCCTCATCTATGGAGGGTGATATTTGGCCGGTATGAGGTTTTCTGATCCGATACAACGGGTAAATGCGGTGTTTGGATGCCTTGGGCCTGAGGCGTAGGTGTCAGATGACATGTGGTCCTCCTGCTCGTCTGGATTTTGCCAATGCGATGACGAATCTCTCTCAGACTGCACCCATAACCGTAAGTAGCCGTGTGGTGCCCAAAGAACACTAGACGTATAAAGTCTGCCTGCCCTTGCAATGGTAGTATGCGCTGGACATGTGTGCAACACTGAGTTGAGCTTTCATATGCATAGACAGTCGTTCGACATGGCATCGGATTTGACCGCAACGTACGTCGGCGAATGCGCATTACGCGTGCAGTGGTCCCAGATCGAGTCATCTAGTGTTAATCTTTTGAGCGAAAGGGTGATGCACATCGATTCTTACAGCCGAGACAGGCCACATCTGGCGCACGACCAGCTTCATATGGAGTCAGTGGCTTGGTCACATGTCGTTCGCTCTGGGCGACCCGGGGCACGGGTAGGATATGATAGGGATCGAGACCCTGGCGTGCTCATCCGTTGATTCGTTACTGAAGGCCGTGGTGACTTTGATCAATAAACACCACTTTGCACCTCGCCAGAATCCGTCGTTGTGTTACGTGTAGCTGCGCGGTGTGGGAAGCAAGCACGCAGACATGCATGCTGCAACCTGCTGCACCCGCTCGACATTCTGTTGTATCAAAGCTTAGTGGCCACGGAGATCGCCGTCCATAGAGCTCTGCTCAAACCGCATTGCTGCCAGATGACTGAAGGGTCGAACGGTCATCGAAGTATAATTATTGTGGATATACTACTCCGGAGATTGGGTCGTGCCGCGAATGATCGTGCCAAAACCGACGTTCGGCATGATTCCGCGTGTTCCATATGGTTGGAAGCTATGAGGCGCTGTGCTGTAGTATTGTCGTCACATGTCGGCGAGGCTGGATCGCACGAATACACAGGGTGTACAATCCGTCCATCTGGGATCGTACGGGGCGAGCCCTGTTGTGGAAGCATCAGGCGTCGGCTACGACTCGGCGAGGCTGACCTCTCCAAGGTTGGCATGGACCCGCATCGCCTCAATCGAAGTGTGGCGGCTGGCGGCAGCGCGCGAAAGTAAAATTGGAAGCTTGCTGGGGTAGCTGTCGAAGGGCTGTTCTGTCTTTGTTTGCGCTGAAAAAACGAACATCTGAAACCTCTTCTCACTAGCGCCCTTTAGCCTCGCGATCACCGACGCGTCTACGGTGCACCGACCTCGGGACGCGTGCACATCATTGCACGCGTAGCCAGCTTGCCACACACTCACACTCCAACCGGAATTACACAATTGGCGACGTCACCTTGGCCACCGCAGGACATCATCATTCGTCTCAGCAAGCGCGAGGCTGGATCATGTGGTCTAGCTTCCTTTCCCGAGCGCGTCCTACCCCTGAGAGAACAACACCTGCAGTGCAGTGCACGGTCGACACGCCGGAAGATGTAGCTGCATCGGTGGAAGACAGACATGTCGATATGTCGGAGTTGCAGCCGACTATTGTTCTTGACGATAGCGGCGACGCCACCCTATTGGTCGGCACCGATTCAGCTGGTCTTCAGCCGGTCCAGGTATCTTCGACAGCCATGACCTTGGCGAGCCCGGTATGGAAAGCAATGTTCGAGCGACACCGGAAAGAAAACGGCGCCATTGAGGTGCCGCTCCGCGATGACGAAGTAGATGCGTTGTATATTGCACTTCGAATCGCTCATCTGCGCTTCCATGAGATACCAAGGAAAGACGGCCTTACAATTGATGCCCTACTCGAGCTCGCTGTCGTGTGCGCCAGATACGACATTGTCAAGCTTGTTCGGCCGTTCCTGGATCTCTACGGATGGGCGCAATGCCACTATCCCGATACGGACTCCGGAGAACGATGCGATCCCGGCTGGTTCTATGTAGCCTGGACTTTTGGCTACAAAGACAGCTTTCAGCGTCTCACCCGGTTTACAGTGAAGAAGATTGGGCTAGATGACGACGGGAATGCTATCATGGACGATGGCCAAAAGCTTCCAAAGTATATGCCTCCAGGGCTTCTGGGTATGAAAACCTCAATCCCAATCGAATCGATCGTGCAGATATGCTGACCAACCTTCAAGAGCGCATGTTGCAAATCAGGGAAGCTACACTTTCGGCTATGCTGGATGTTCTCTACGACATCCTAGACGATATCATACACGTGTATGTCTGTCAAGTCGATGAATCATGGGAGCCCAAGTGTCGAGCCATGGTTTTAGGCTCCTTCATCTCTTTCCTCTTGGAGAATGATCTCTACCCAGTACGACGGAGAGCTTCCGAAACTCCCTTCAGCATCCAAAAGCTTTACGATCTCGCGCACTCTGCCCAGATTTTGACTTTCGAATCACATGACTATACAGGTATGGCAGCACATATCCGGCGGTCTAGTTGGGATCCTGCAAACGTTACGGCGGAGACTTTCAAAAACAATGGCGGCCTTACTCTGCACAAGAAGTGTTTTGGGGCCTTTCATCTCCGATCAAAGCTGAAGACTATTTACTCAGACATAGGCTCAGCCGTGCTCCAATCTCACATTGAGCATATGGATAAGCAGGCTCTGAAGTAACTTTCTTAGCTCCGACGGCCCGATGAACGAGTAAACGCGGGAAGCCATACTTCGGGTGATGAAACGCGACGGTTCTCACGCGGAAGATGCCGGAAAATACACTACAGTGTTGAGAACCGGAGTTACTGTTTACGTCTCGTAGTCGAATTGAACAATGACCGGTTGTTGCGATATTCCGTCGCTACAGCACGATGACGAGGCTCGGCTCGCACTACCGCGCGCAACAACAACACCCCGCTCACGACGAGACTTGGTACTTGGCAACCACCTCTTCCACCTTCCCGATGTAGTCAACCAAAGTTAACGCTCCCACTTTGAATGTACTCCAAGCCATCGCCAAGGCGGTATCGCACAACAATGCCTGATTGTAAAGCCGATAACACGGCTTGCGAGGATGAACACATGCTTGGAAGCCATTGGCATCGATGGTACCGTTGGGCACATACATAAACCTTGATAGACTTCGGATTCCTTGAGCCTCAAGATTGACAGCCTCGCAATGCCTCCTACCATTCGTTCCGCAGCCGTCGCGTTGCTGGTTTCCGCCGCGCCCGGCTTGGCTCAGTTCCCAGCGGAGCCCGCGGGTCTCAAAGTTTTAGAATCGCGCTTTGGAGATGGTGTGAAAATCACCTTCAAAGAGGTTCGTGCGATTTAGCAACCAGCAATGCTTCTTATCTAATATGTACATGTTAGAACTCGCTTTGCGAAACCACCCCCGGTGTTAAATCCTACTCCGGCCACGTCTATCTGCCTCCGGGAACCGCGGACTTGGGTCAAGGACAGGATTATCCGATCAACACCGTGAGTGCAGGTCCAAAGCATACATAGCTCTCACTTACCAATGCAAACTAGTTCTTTTGGTTTTTTGAAGCTCGTGAGGATCCGACGAATGCGCCGCTCACCATCTGGCTGAATGGTGGACCGGGTTCTTCATCCATGTATGGTATTCTCGAAGAGAATGGACCATGTTATGCGAACCCGGATTCCAACTCCACGCGACCCGCGGAATGGAGTTGGAACAGAGCCTCAAACATGCTCTATCTTGACCAGCCGGTACAAGTTGGCTTGTAAGTACTATATCTGCTCCCGAGCTCGACGACTTGTTTGTTGACTCCTGCTCCCAGCTCCTATGATACCCTGCAGAACATCACTCGCGACCTTGTTACCGGCGAGGTCACGCTGCTCAACGAGACTTCAACCGTGCCTGAGCAGAACACCACTTTGCTCACCGGAACATTCCCCAGTCGCGAGCCCAATAACACCGCTTTTGGAAGTGTGAACGGAGCCGTAGCAGCGTGGGAGTTTGCACAGGCTTGGTTCCAGGAATTTCCCCACTACCTTCCGAACGACACCCGTATCAGTCTTGCAGCTCAGTCGTATGGCGGACGATACGGCCCCGCTATGATGTCCTTCTGGGAAGAGCAGAACCAGCGCATTGAGAATGGTACTCTTGGCGAAGAGGGTTACATTATGCACCTTGATACCCTACTTCTCATCTCCGGATGTGTTGATCGCTACGTGCAGTACCCTTACTACCCTCAGCAAGCATTCCGTCAAAACGGCTACGGTATCGAAGCTGTCAACGAGACAACATACAATGCCATGGTTGAAGCAGTACCAGAATGTCTCGAGCGTATCCAGAACTGTCGCGATGCCGCTAGACAAGACGATCCCGAGAACCTGGGTATCGATGCCGGTGTAAACGAAATTTGCGAAGACGCAGAATCGTTTTGTCGCGCGGAAATCGTCAGCCCGTACAACCAGTATGCAGGACGAGACTACTACGATATTTCGACACCGTCACCACCTCCATTCCCACCGCCATTCCATGAAGGCTACTTGAATCGCGAATGGGTACAAGCTGAACTCGGCGTGCCGCTCAACTGGACAGGCAGCTCACCTCAGGCCTCGTCCGCATACCGCGACATTGGTGACTACCCGCGTGACAACTGGCTAGACGATCTTGGCTTCCTGCTCGACAACGGCATCAAAGTCTCGCTCGTTTACGGAGATCTAGACTTTGCCTGCCCCTGGGCTGGCGGTGATGCTGTCGCCAAGGCAATCAACTGGACTGGTTCAGCTGGGTATGCCTCCGCACAATACGCCGAGATCCAGACCAACGACTCCTACGTCGGTGGTCTGGTCCGTCAATACGGTAACTTGAGCTACATCCGCACGTACCAAGCCGGTCACGCGATTCCAGCATACCAGCCCGAAACCGCTTTCAAGATCTTCACGCGCGCGCTCTTCAATCTCGACATTGCTACTGGTACCGAATCAACATCTGGAACGGATGAGAGCAGCACATACATGAGCACTGGTCGCCCCGACCCTGATGTGCAATTCGACGCTTTCACCAGCGACAGGCTGACATACTGCTACACCTGGGATCTCAGCTCTTGCACCGAGGAGTACGTTGATGCGGTTCTGGATGGCTCGGCAGAGATTTGCCAGTACCTTGTTGTCGATGCGAATACTACTGCGCTGTTCCCGGAGGTCATTGCAAAGTGCCGTGCAGAGAGTGGTGGAAATGGTACGATGCCTGGTGGGCACAGTAACAACACGCTGCCCGAGTTCGAAGGTGCTGCTGCGAGCGTAAGAGGAAATGCGTGGGCCGTCTGGTCAACACTCGTCATGATGGGTGTGGTGAGCTTCATGCTCTAAGTGGGCGAGACAGATATTAGAAATGGTTGGGTGCTGAAACTGTCCGATATCGTCTCCGCAATACAACGATACATCACGACCACATCCAAAGGAATACACATAACATGACTTGATATCCATTACCTCAACTCGCATCTCCTCAGTCTCCCAAACTAATTATCAAGGTTAACACCAAACTTCTTAGCCTGCTCCCTCTGCACCTTATCCCCCAAATGCGCCTCCACACCCTCCGCATCCCCCTTACCCCCCTTCCCACTTCCACTTCCACTTCCACTCTTCTCATCCTGTCCACCCTTCTTGCCGTCCTTGCTCCTGTCCCCACTCTCCAAACTCGTCGCGCCATGCAACTCCTCCACATCAGCATGCCCCCCATTCTTCCTCACAACCTCATCCCCCGCGCCCTTACTCTTCCCCACAGCATCAGCCACACGCTGCGCCCTCGCATCCATCTCCTGTCCCTTGCTCGACGACGTCGAGATATCCACTTCGTCTCTATCTAGCTTTGTGAACTTTTGGTCCAGCTGCGAGCGCTCGGGCGAGGTGGCGCTGTGGTGCGGTTCTGTGCGCTTCTTCGAGGATGAGGTGTCTTTCTTGGGTGGGAGCGGGTCTTGGGCGGAGGAGTCCTCTTCTTCGTCGAGAGGGTCCTTTTTGGGCTCGTTGACGCCGAATTCTTCGGCGTTGTCGGCGATGGGGGCTGCGGCGCCGCCGGCGCCCATTCCGGGGAGGGCTGGGGTGGGGTGTTAGTTATCTGAGATGGACGGGTTTGGGAAAGTTTGATGGGGTTCTTCTTACCGTCTCCTGCTTCAACTTCGGGCATGGGGGCTACGTGCTTGGTGTGTTGGAGGGTTTTCTGTTGGTCACGTGTTAGTCGCTGTTCAGTCTTCTGTCCATTGGAAGACGTACATCACCAGAAGCTCCATGAAGCAGCTCTTGACCCTCAATTGGGCCATTGTCGCTAGATCCGTCTCCGTTGCGAGGCATAATGTTCAATTCGTAGATTCGAAAGAAAGGTTAAGTGGTATGGTGGTTCAGAATACTGCAAAGCTGTGTAGCAAAAATGATTCAATACCCCAGCTTCAACACGACACCTTCATATACCAGCTACTAGGTACTTGGAAGTTGGCAACCCCAAGTTCTAGGTCTCCGGTTCAAAGACGTCATAGCTTTTGTTTATTGTTCGTTGCAATGCACTAGGCGGTCCACTAGGCGGTGACCGGAGAGCGTCCGGCATAGATATAGTGGACTTGCTGCTTTTTATGCACAGCAAGCCTCTCAGGCACCGCACCAGATTGAGTGTAGTCCGAATTCCCCCACATTTGGTGTCATCGTACCTGGGGCCTGTTCTGGTTTTGGCGCTCGAGCCCGGGGCGACTTTCCACGAGTAATATTGGCGGTGTGGGCTGGGAGCGCGTGTAACAACGACTGCGGTATGGTGCCAGAACGTGAGGTGTACAAATCGAGTATATTATCGTGTCAGCTAAGGGTATAATACAAATTAATGGTGTCGCGTAAACATCGTCGTCGTCCTTCCTTCGTTACAACAAATGAAACCCCCTAATAAACAACCTTGTGATCCCAAAGAGGCGCCTGCCTCACGCTGTTGTCATCCCATTCGACCTTGCCCTTCTCGTTCATTATTGCGCCCTCATCCGTGACCTCGACACCATAGCTTCCAAGGCTCTCTGTCAGCTCCGCAACCTCGTTCTTGCTAACGCCAGCTTGATCTCTCGCGAGCCAGATGACTTCTTCGCGTTGCGCCAAAGCGGGGTGTAGGTAGGCTTCGAGAACGTCTTGCTGGGTGTAGGCTGGTACAGGATGGCGGAAGCGTGTGATCAAAGAGGAGGATATCTCGCTGACGGAGAGTGTATGCGGGGAGAACGCCTTCTTGAGTAGGGATCGCTGTGGTGGGGCGTTCGATGGAGGAGCCATGCCAGCGCCTTGCTCACCGGCGTACTGGCGGCTTTCCTCTCTGTAGCCAGAGACAAGAGCTTGCTCAGATCGCCTGCTGTCCTCGCGCGAGCGTTTGACGTTGTTGTATCCAGGGTGCATACCATTGCCTTCGGAATGTCTTTCAGCGTCGTTGTGCTGTTGGGGATGGTTCGAGTCATCGAGCAAGTTCATCTGCTTGATCTTGCGCTTCATCATGACGTGGAAGATGATGGTTGCTACGATCAGCACTATCTGGAGCACCGTAGGACCAGCAGATGTAACACTGTTGCCGATACCGATACCGAAGAGACCCAAAAGACAGAGCTCGCCAAGGTAGACACCTACCATGAGCTGCTCGAGCGCGCGAGCATAGAAGCCACCCTTGGTGTCAACGTGGGTGTCGTGGA